AACACAAAATTTTAATTGGTTTAAAATTTTGGACTAGATAAAGGAAACTGAACTGATGAAAACAAATGATAATCTAATGGTATGAAGCCTGGTGAATAAGGAAGCATTTTTTATTTTAATTCCATTATGGTTTGTTGGGTCAATAAAGTGTGGATTAGTATTGCCATATAGCAATATGATTTTCCAGTTTCCATTTCAAAGAACATCCTTTCTTCAATTGCAGCTCTCATATATTAAAGTTAACAAATATAATATTCCGCAATAAGTTTCACTAGGTTTTCAATACAGTTAATAATACAGTACATCTGTAGAGCAGGCTGTCCTGAACCGACTCATGATTTTTGACACTTTGATTTACTATAATGAATTCACTTTTTATCTCAAAAAAAAAAAAAAAATTCATGTATGATAAAAAGAAAAATGCAGGAAAAAAAATTACTGGCCAATGCTTTGCTCTGACCATGTGGGAATTTATTTTTGTTTTTTTTTTTGGGGGGGGTCCGCAAATGTCTTGAGCAACTGACACAGTTTTTCAGTTAATCCCAACATCAATTGTGCAAAACCATCATCATAGGTTGAAAATCATCTCTTTCTAATTCTTGTGGTCTACCACTTCAAGGATTATTCTCTAAATCAAATTCATCTTGAATTTCACAAAACTTTACATTTAGTACTTCCAACTAAACCATCTCTATAAACTTCATTAATGTTGCTTGCTTCTTGCCTAATATGAAAAGGAACAATATACAATACTGCAAGTGTATCTTGACTGCCACCATTTTACTGCAGCCCCACCCCATACAACCACCACTCCTATTCTCAACAAGGATAAATAAACACTGTATACAAAAAAAACAAAAACAGTTTTCAGCTGTATATTCAGGTTTCTAGTTTTCAAAAAGAGGATGTTACAAACTTTTGTGCCCATTTATTAAATGCAATCACAAATGTACCAAGCATCCTCATTCAGATGTAATTATAAATGTGAATTATCAATCTCAGCATATAGTAATTAAGAACAGGAAATGATTGAGGGGAAAGCTAACATTGTACAGGAGCAGGATTGCTTGTATTTTAAACAAAATTTAGATCAACAAGACTATTCTAAAATATCTTACACTGACCAACAACTACCTTTTGTCATTTTACTGTTAGATTTTTCTAAAAATAAAATATTCTTTATATTAAAAAGAAAAAAAAACTCTACACAACATTTCAATTCTTCTTCCATCTGTTCATGATAAGAATCAAGATAATTCCAAGAAGGAAATTTACCAATTGGACAGAGCATCATAAAAATCAATAGAACAATTCTACAGATTACCATTTCTTAATTTTTTTTCAGTTTTTGGAACAGCCAATAGGATGAGCCAATAGTAATTATTGCCAATCAATGCTTGAAGAAAATTAAAGAGTAATGTTCTCAACAAGAGCTACAAAAGTTTATAAAATCAAAATGTAATTAAACAAACCGGAAATTTGACCTGTATATGATCCATGAGCAAATAGAAACAAATACTTTTTTTCTAAGGACACATGGAACATGGCATATGCAGTTACTCGGTTGGATTCATGTGAATCTAAAGAAACCTAATAACCAAGAGGAACTTTGGGCTTTGAAAAAGAATTTTACAGCAATGAATGAATGATTACTGCATAGGCAACATCAAAAAACATCAATAATTTCCTAAAATAAAAATTCTGTTCCATTCTATGAACTTTGAACTAAGCAAAGTACTGATCATCCCCCATTATAACACTATATAAAATAAACAGACTTCAAAATGTTGTTGATATATCTTCTCTATAGTTCTTTCCATGTAATACCAATAAATCACTTGAAAAAAAGTAATGATACTGAACATGAATGGTATTAAAGGATATACTAGATAGACGTACTAATGCTAATAAAATACCATTTGCAAGAAAAAATAATTACAATTAAACTCTAAAAACTCCAGTCCTGGAGAGAGGAAGAAAAAAAAAAAAAACAATATAAAACATTGATTCTATAATGATAAAAAAAGAAAAAAAAAAGAAAAATGAAATCCCCAAACTTAACATTTTTGCTTCAAAATGGCATTAAACAGCAAAACACAATAAGTAATATCTTTCATCTTTAAGCTTTCTTTAATCAAGAAAGGTATACAAGATATTTGATTATATTGATACATGTGCATTCAATAGATTGAAATATTTCTTTTAATTTTCTATCTACTTTGTCTGAAATAATTGTTTTTTCTCCAATTTATAAAAACCCAACAAACAATTTTGCACAAAGAATTTATACTCATATTTGGTTGTTAAGCAAATGAGTTATTCCATGTCAAATCAACAAGGGTCTAACCATCACTGACAGATTTTTTTTTCAAATTTGGTACACTTATAGAGCTTCATGATATGAATTGAAAGATACCTATTTTATATCTCTTTATGATTAAAACCACCAAGGTGACAACTGCATGCATTTCATATTAGCATTATAATCATTATGACAGGCACAAAACTATAAAAATGCATTTATGTGTATAACAATTAAAAAGTTTGGTTTGGTTTGTTTTACAGCATATCAACCTCAATGGGTTATTTAATGCAGACAATTTTTATTGCCAGTAATATTTTTTTTCTTTCAAAAATCTATTTCTGGTAATTTTGTTTTGTTTTTTTCCAAAAAATGCATTGCTGGTTAATAATTTTTTTGTATTTCTAGTATTATAACCTATTTTTACACTTTCATAGCATTTTGACTCCAATTTGTGGGTTAACTATTTGCCCCAAGCTGGGAACCTAACAGGTGCTACCACCGAGTCAGGGTGGATTTAGGAACACCAGCAATTAAGAGGTGGTTCCATGCTCCTCAAAACCTCCTGAGCAGAGGCCTTGCTGTTGGACGTAGTTTATCGTCTTACCCAGGACACAGATATAGTTTATCATCATACCCAGGACAGCAATTAAAAAGACAGACAAAATCTCTCCAACACATCAAAAGAGAGACATTCACTTGCAACATGCTTACAATTATAAAAAATCTTGAGTTTAATATACCATTCTTTCTCTCTCTCTCTCTTTTTTAACAATGAGGTTTACCCTGTACAAGGCCTGGAGGCCACTTGAGGTAGAGGGTTACAGAGTAAGAGGCAGAGTTTATGCAGATATGTGGGGAAGATAATGATTAACTCTAGACTTAAACAGGTTAAGATTGTAGCGATCGAGAAATCATCTTCTTGGAGTCAGTTCCACAGGGCAGTGGTTCATGGGAAGAAGCTGCTCGAATGGAACATACTTCTCACCAATGGAATAAAGAGGGAATGAGTGTGCTTTACTACAATGTGTGTAACATGGCGGGCCTTAGCCATGAAGGTTAGTACTAGTGGAACTTAGAGGTTTGCTACATCTCATCTGTGAGAGAGGAGTTGTGGGGTAGAAAATAATTTGTCACCCACAAGGATACAGAAACTCTTTCAAACTATCAAGACTGGAAAGTGAGGATAGGGCAGCTCCTACCCAAATATGACAACAGTACTCCATTTTTGGCCTGATCTGGTTCTTGTAAAGGATAGCATGAGAAGTCAGGTACTTACAGGAGCAGTACAGGGAACCAACCATTTTTCCAGCCTCTTTAATGATAGATCATATGTACAAGTTCCACTTGAGTTCCAGGTTGGGTTTAAGGCCCATTAGTCACTCAAGGCATGGGGCCTCCCTAAGGGAACATACATTCATCATAACTGGTGGTAGTTCTGGGTTCAATCGGTTCAATTTGGCTTTCAAACTATTGAAGGTAACCAGCCAGTTTTTCTACCACTGAGATGTTAGAGCTAGAGAGGAGGTAAGATCAGTTGCCAATCTCTGGTCATTTAGAGCTTTGGCAGTGCACCCATATACTGCTCTATCATCAGCATAGATATTCACAAACAACTGCAGGTTCAAACAAACTGAACTGTTGATAAGTGAAATACTAGCCAAGACTAGCAGATTTTACTATGCATAGCTAAAACCATTTTTAGATTTCATTCCTTTTATATTCTTCAGCAGATTATTTTCTCAAGATTAGTATAAATATCCCTACATGTGTGTATGCTTTTGTAGCTAAATACATTGTCAAAAACAAAAAAAAAACAAAACAAAAAAAAATATCTCACTGATTTACATGTTATTCAGTGAGTCTGAATAGGATAAGCAGATCCATGTTTCCACAATCTAATTCTTCATTTGTTCAGGTCATTGCATTCAGAATGTCAGTTAAAATCAAAAAGAATTACATTCCAAATATCCTATCAAACTTGAATATCCAACAAATTTTAAGTAAACCAGTTCTGAGTTTATTTTTTAAATCTTTAAAAATTAACGATTTATTCTGCATCATTTTTGTTTTGAGAGGTGCTTTTAGATTCCAAAAAGTGTAATAAATCAAAATAGAAACAGATATCAATTTATATTTTTTCTTTTGGCAAAATGAATGAAAGGAAAAACACAATAATCCAATACTGAAAATTTTCTGGAGAATGAAAATTAATACAGAAGGTATTTTCTTTTAAGGGCATAATTAATAAAATAAAACTATGTTGTAACAATGTTTTATGCTGCCACAGCAGAGCAGTAAAATGCTTAGTTTGAAGGTTAAGTAAAATGTATCTATGATTTACTACCAAAAATAATTGTTATAAAAAAAAAAACAAAAAAAAAAACAAAAAAAAACAGTTACTTCAATTGGCCAAAGGATTTAAAAACTGATAAAGATTGATTGTGCTTATTTTTCATTTGTGATAAGAATATTAAAGATTTCCTTAATTGTATTAAGTAAATGTTAACAAACTATATTTAACCCAAGATAAACAGCACGGCCACTAAGTTTTGAGTAAATAATTACAAAAATATTCTCATCAAATTATCTTTTTAGGTATGTAAAAAAAATAAAAATATTTAATTCTTGCAATTTTTATTATTGTAAAGTGTCCGTAAGGCATCAGTATTGGAAAAAGAAATTAAAGTGAACTTACCTGAGAATATGGTCCTCCTTTACTTTGTTCTCCTCACCCATTGCAATAACTTTAGATGTAGTACTAGTCACTAGAACACCATCCTTCATAAATTTCCTAGTTTTTGTAATTGTTCTGTAATGGCTCTTGCTCTCCTAGAAGATAAAAAGTGAAAAAATGATTCAATTAAAAGGAACAGTGAAATATCTGAGAAATGTTGTTTTCTTTCCACAGCCAAGAACTAGATCTACAATTTGCTTACTGCAGTTTGCTATTACTAAAGTTAAGTGTAATATTGAATAGAACAAAAGTAAAAATTGTCAAAGTGAATTCATTGCCTAAAGAAATATCACTTAAGTTTTAGGGAATCAGAAAGCTCTGCAACAAAAGTCATTGATGGATTTTTGCTTTTGTGATGAGATCATTAACAGATTCAATTAATTCAGTTTGAAGCAGAGAATGACAACTATCTTCCTGTAGATCTTTGTTGCGAACCTCTTAACACAACAAAGCAGCTGGTTGAAGGTTACTGCTTTCCACTACCAAACAATGATGATCAATACCACAATACTGACACCTGCTTTGCTTTCCAATGAGAGCAATTAACATTTGCTTGATGCAAGCTTGTTTGCCATTATGCCAAGCTTATCATAATCATCATCATTTGAAAAAAAATTTTTTTTTTAATACACAAAAATAAAAAATAATAAAAAATCACCAAAAATATTCCTTTAGTGATTCATTTACTTAAAGTCATTTTTAATCATTGAAAATGCTTGGATATAGCTGATAGTTTAGACAAATCTGAACAAGTTGGATACAATGCATGACATTTATACAAGAGTCTAAATTTGATGAGGCTATTTAAAAACTAGATTCAAGTTCTTAGGTTAATAGATTGTGTTGCATCTTGTGATGTTGGACAAAACTACTCCAAGCACAGATTATTGTGTGTTCAATTTCCTTATCCACTATACTAAATTTGTTATAACTGATCCACACACTGAGATATTTGAAGTGTTTAGAGTTTATTAATTCGAAATTCTGAATTTTTATGATGGATTCAGAGTATGTGCCATCACTACTCTCATTCCAATTCCAGATCATAGTTTCTGTTTGGGAAAGGTTTATTGTAAGTTTTATTTTTTTTGAATGATTTTTTTTTTGTTCAAGATCATTCTTATGCCAACTACGAATATAAATGTCATCAGCATAACCACTCATCTTCTCCTTGAAGGCAAGTGTATTGATATATACCGTCCTTCAAGGAGAAGGCAGGAGCGCTGTTTTCTAGCAATAAATTTGTTGGGACGTGGTACAAAATGTTTAAATGATCAAAGCCCATTTCTTCACACCTGTGTTTATACATGTGCAGAGCCTACTCTAAGAAAAGATTAAACAAACTAAAGCACTCATTTTGGTTGAGTTAATGGTAAAAATAGATAACAGGATTGTTTGAATTAAGTTGCAGATAACATGAAGAAGAATGGATAAAAGTAAAATCAGAGTACAATCTCTTGCTCAACACTGTTTCTTACCACATCTAAATACAATGATTATTTCCAGGTTTCAACAAAACGTCATTATATATTTAACAAGCAAATGATCGGACACTTTAGTTTCCAAACAATTATCATTTCATATCTAATTACTTATTCTATTTTAGATTAAAGAGTAATTAGAAAAAATGAAAAAGAAAAACTTGCTACAGTTTATTCAATTAGATTTGCAAAAATACATAAAAGTAAATTAAATTCAAAATCTATAAAATGATTAGCGAGTAAAGCAATAAAAAATATTTATCAAAGAATTTGAAAATATTCACCAGATTTCAATCCCCTACCCAATTTTAATCTGTAAAAAAGTATCTCAAAGAAAATGGTATGGAACATTTTTAAAGTAGCAAAGGGTTAAATACCTTTTCCATTTCTTAATTTCAATACCAATAAATAAAAAAAACAAAAAAAACTAACAAATGCTACAATATAAACAACCAGAAGCCAATAAATCTGATACATAAGCAAGTACAATAATTACTTTTTGTGTAATTCTAATGTGGCAATTTGAAAATAAATTGAAAAGAATAGGAGGAAGAATAAAAACTACAAAATGAGTTTTGTCAGAATAACAATGTCACTTCTTTCCTAGGAGATTACAATAACCATAAAACACTCACAACAGATTTTTATGTATGCTAAGGGAAAATCAAAAACAAATCATTTCAAATTGATAAATCAACTAAAACATTAGATATGATCCAAATGATTTTATTCCCAACTAAAACGTCTTAAAAAAAGAAAAAAACCTCATGAAGTGCATCAAGTCAAATTCAATATTAATCAGATATGACTAGTGATAAAATTTTGTAAAATTCATTTGTTTCGATAAAATTATCTTGAAATGTGTTGATTCAGAATCTTATTTAAACAGAATTTTAATACAAGACAAATATCTATTAAAGACCTAGAATATGTCTAATGAAAGGAAATCATGTAAATACTTGATTATACTTTAATAGGTTAATATAAATTAAAACCTAATTTATTTACATGTTATTTCTTTGATTGATGCATCAACCTTAAAAAAATGTTTTCTATAACTTTTCCAACTAATATATTTTTTATAAAACAAAATGAGTACATGCAGTGAAATAGAAACCCAAAAATTATAAACATTAGGTGATTTTTTTATAAACTTATTTTTAATAATATTATGTAAATATTAAAAAAATATCTAAACTTAATTACATTAAGTAAAATTAAAAAAAAAAAATATATATATATATATATATATATATATATATATATATATATATATATATATATATTCTCCCGTCGGTTTCGACGTATGAGGATCTGCCAGCTTATTGATTCAGTTATGAAAGTTTATACGCTAATCTTAAGTGGCATTTAAGACCCGCTAGTGATTTACAAAGGAGGCCGCATATGGAGCAAGTGGGAGGATTGTGAGATGAGATCACTGTTAGATTGGTTGACCTTTTAGATCTTGCTCTCACTTCTTGAAGATGATTCAGACAAGCAGATTGAAAACACGTTGATCTCCATTCTACCTGCTCCAAAGCTAAGTGCTCAAGGGTGTTATGTGGTATATTAACTGCTGACAAGTTGCTTTTCAGCTTGTCTTTGTATCTTAGCCATGGGCGTCCTACATTCCTGTAGCCTTGATCTAACTGGCTGTACATTAGGATCTTGGGTATCCTGTCATCAGACATTCTCAAGACATGACCAGTCCACCGTAACTGAGACTGTATGATAAAAGTCTTGATTCCTCCAATATTACACCTATTAAACAGGTCTATGTTAGATGTCCTATCTTGAAGCTTAACTCCACAGATTGCACGCAGACAGCTTTTATGGAAAACATGTAGCTGGCGTATATGGTACCTGTATGGGAGTCCACGACTCTGAGCCATACAAAGGATGGCAAGTACAACAGCTCTGTAAACCCAAATTTTCATATCCAGTCGAATACCCCTGCTCATTCCACGCACACACACACATATATTTGGGGATATTGAGATTTTATGTTTTAACTATAATACAGACTGGGAGTAAACAGTCTGTATTATAGTTAAAACACAAAATCTCAATATCCCAACAAATCAGGATGGATATTTATACTTAAATATTATGTATTTTACAGAAACACGACAGTAGAAATATATTAGAAGTTTAAAGTCATTCTTAATATTAACTATTTTCACTGACAACAAAATTTACACAATCATTAATAAGAGCCTTGTCTGCTTTTTCTGGAATATGTAATTAAAAAGAAAAATCAAAAACCTATTTTCTACTGAAATGAAAAAATCAAATCTGGAAATAATTTCTTTTATCAGGTAATTAGTGGATCCCCCCCACAAAGTACCAGTGATTTTCTTAATTACCATCTAATTTTACTTGTAACAATTGGAACATAGAAATTATCTGCATAACAATTATAGAGATTATTTTTGCTACAGAAGGAGACAAATTTAATGAATGCCTTTAAATAATTCATGAAGATTAATAGATCTTTGCCAACAATGAAATTTTAAATGTAAATCTGATTCAGTTAAATCAGACTATTCTTGTTTTGACATCAGTGATTTAACTTGTCACATTACAGAATAAATATTCATTCAGCCACTAAAATAATTTAGTTATTATAAACTCTTTAACAGAGAGAAAATTGCCAAATTTAAGATGTCATATAAAAACGTTCAGATAATTACTGTAGTGCAATTACATTAAATTTGAAAAATGAAATTCATTTTTTTAAAAAGACTAGAAACTCTGAAAATGTTCTTATCACATGAGAATTGTATACTGAACAGAAACAGCTTTGATATTAGCTATTTTCATATCAGGAGAGACAAAAACAAAGACTTTCAACAAGTCAAATATACTCCTCTAAAATAACTTAGTCTCATCAATTCACTTTTAAAAAGCCAAATGTAACTGCAACTCTAGAAAATTTCAATTTAGTGAATGCATCTTCACTAAACTAATGATTCTATCAGCAGAAAAAGAAATGAAAATAAAATACCAGCTAATATTTGAGTCGGTGAATAAATTCTATATCAGAATTCATTATACAAGTCAATGTTTTCACAATAAAATTGATTTAACCAACCACAGTTCTTAAAATTTTTCATCATATATTTATATGAGCAATATATCATTTGAGTCTCAGGTTATAATTGTTATCCTTATTAAAAAAAATATTCATAACTTGTTTGGAGGGTAATCAGGTTTTATTAGGCAAACAAACTAGAAAATAATTTTTCATATATAAATAAATCCAAAAGGTATCAGCCTCAGAAACATTGATTAACACAAATCATTATTTCACATACTGACATGGGCTCCTACATATGCAACAATGTTCATCAGCCTTTCTTCTATTGATTTTAACTTTTAACATTACTTGCAGTTTTTATCACTTCCCAGAAATAATTTTTACTGGAATATTGTTTTCCTTTTTACTTTACAGAATATGAAAGAGCATTTCTTACATGAATAGACTCTTTAGCTTAAAGATTCTGGGTTATAACTTATACCACTCATAAATGTCCAAGAACATGCAATACAATTAATTAATTTTACTGTAAAATTTAATGTCATTTTCACATCAGAAATACTTTTAAAAGAAT